TAAGAGAGAATGTAAGAGTGACAACAGGAGCACCTCTCCCCGTCTCAGTATGCACACCTAACTGTACAAAGGTGCACGAGCCAGAAGCTTAGAAAATCCCCAGCTTTTGAAAGAGAGCCAAATACCATTTTGCTGATAGCGAGCTTCCTGCCTGAAAGCCCTCACTGAGGTTTCTCAGTTTTGGGGCTTGCTTTTCTGGTCAGGTAACTTTGACTTGTTAAAACTCTAGAAATTAAAACTTAGTGCTGTGCACATAGTTGGTTTTATAACTGCTGCAAGCAAGACACCTATTTCCTTAAGAAATACCTTTGAATACTTTCTTAAAATGAAAGTCAGCCAGATCACTGTTTTTTAAGCTCTTCAACTGCTCATACTGGCCTTGGATGGGAGCCACATGACTAGCATGTAGCCCTGCTGCATATGGGGCAGAGCATGAGGTCCTCAGTCTGCCATGACTCTGCAGTACCAGGTGGCTGCAGAGGTTCTCTCATTTGACATAGAAAGGAGGTAGCCTTTCAACAGGAGGAGCACGTGCTGTCCCATGGCTTTTCTCAGAGACCGCTGTAGATCTACAGTTTATTTTTGTGGCTGCTTACAATATAAGGCTCTGTTCTGAGTATCATGAATGCCATATGGTAAGAAGGGGGAGTTTGTATGAAATCTAAACAAGAAGGAGATACAGTTCCTTCTCCATAGTGTTCTTAGTTTTTTAGGGTGTTGTTAAGTTACATTTTCAGGCTTTTCTCAGAAGAGGGAGAGACATTTCCTTCTTTGGTCAAAAGTGAAAACTAACTGCCTGTCCTCAGGAGATGCGGATTTAGAACCACCAGATGTGTATAACATCTGAAGAACTGGTACAGCTGCATGCTGCTTATTTTACCCAAGATGTCTTAAGTGGAGAAAGCTTCACACATACAGCCTGCGTTTGAGTCTTAGGAAACTCCCTTAGCCACTGCTTTTGAATTTTTATAGTATAGCTATTCCCTTGACACAAACTGGATAACCTCCCTGGCTTATTTCTCTGGCTTACTTTATTCCATGGTCATAATTGTTCACAAAATGGGGAAGTCCTGTCCTCAGTACTCGGTTTTGCCTAGGACTAACTGGACCATTGCATAAAGCTGAGGTTCCACCAAAGCAAAACGAACTGGACTGTCCTTCTGAGCACTGAGCACCGTTCAAATTGTGATCACTTCAGGTCTAGAAAAGCTTTAACAGAAATATCTGCCCTAAACCACATAGGACAACTGTGCATTAGACAAATTCCTTATGAGCAGTGTTCTTATATTGTCTAAAGCCTATTTAAAGCTCCTAAATGCTAGATTTTTTTCTTATTGTTACAAGTGAATCCCATAAGCAACATCACACCTGCAGCTAGCTTAATCAAAATACAAACCATGTGTGCTTCTGAAGCTGAAAGCACACTACTTTCACTATTCTATCCTTGTGGCCAAACGTGTGATAGAAATTACTGCCCCTTCTACTTACCTCTTAATCACATGGATTTTCTGTTCCTGAAGTTGTTTCTATTCCCTGCCCTGCTTCGATATTAACGGGGCTGTATGCTTCAAACCATGCCACTGATGCATCACTGTTATTTTGTCTTTCTCATCTCACTTGGACAAATGCAGAAGCCTCACAGGTTTATTAAACAAGACACACCTATCCACCAGTATGGGCTACATCTAATTAAGTACAACTCTTTGTTAGGGTGTTTCCTGAATAGCTTGCTAAAGTATTTCCATTTTTTTCCTTCCCTCACGTCACTGCCTCATGCCTCTACTGTGTGATGACACATGATAGGGCAGAGGTGAGGGAAATTGTAGTGCACCTGAGACTTTAGTTTAGAGAATATAACTTAAAACTTATTTCTAGAGAGATGTTACCTTTTGAATAGCCCAGGAAACACCTCTCTGAATCTTTAGGTACCTGAAGATCTCCAAAAGTCTGATTCTAAGTTTAAAATTAAACACTTGGCTCTCAACTTCCAAACTGTAGAGCCTGAGCCTATGTCAGAAGTTAGTTCCTAAGGACAAAAACAGACTGGGAGGTTCGTAACACAGATTTTCCATGGAACTCTGCTTATAACTTGGCACAGCTTGGGAAAGAGGAGAAAAATCTTGCGTGCCAGAGATTTGTGAAGATAGTAGATTAAAGCCAAAAAGACCAAGGTGGTTATCTCCTCTGAGCTGCTGCAGGGCTCAGGCTGCAGAGCTCCACTCTGTGAGGACTGCATGAAGCCTGGTGACTGCTGATCCAGGGATGTAGGAGATTTGATTCCAGCTCTTGCACTTATCCAGTAGATGAGCAATGTCCAGGTTTTTTGGTTGACTGGGTCATACCTGTTCCAACGAGAGGGGAGAGCTGCTTTTCTCATTACACAGCTGCAACTGTTAAGTAAGATATGGACCGATTGCTCTGGAAGAGGGAGCACTGTGCTCTGGCCGTCCCTGACCCTTTTGCAGTGGAAAGCAGGTCTCAAGCCCTGGTGAAAGAAAACATGGAGAAGCGGGATGCTGCGTCCACCAGTACAGCTCAACTGGCCTGCAGTGTTTCCACCAGCTTCCATCCTGAGAAAAGCTGGACAAGACAAAGAAGTGATCCCAGGCTCTGTTTGCAGAGCTGTGACATGTCAAAATAATTTTGTAGAGGTTACACAACTTCAGAGCTTCCTGTAACTCAAGCCTGGGATTTTTCCTTGATTGCACAAGAAAATGGGTGGTGATTGTATTTAGATGATCTATATCTTTCTAAATGAAGAGGAGGGATTACAATGCAGGATGTGGGAGACATCGCTCTCTACAACTACCTGAAAGGAGGTTGTAGCGAGGTGGGTGTTGGTCTCTTCTCCCAAGTAACAAGCGATAGGACGAGAGGAAACGGCCTCAAGTTGTGCCAGGGGAGGTTTAGATTGGACGTGAGGAAAAATTTCTTTACTGAAAGAGTGGTTAAACATTGGAACAGGCTGCCCAGGGAAGTGGTTGAGTCACCATCCCTGGAGGTATTTAAAAGTTGTGTAGATGTGGCGC